TCAACATTTTTGCTATACACATATAGCATTTCCCAAATGCTTGATTAACATTTTTTTTAAACTAATTCAACATTTTTTTTCAAAATGCTTTATTATTTATATACATGGTCAAAAAATTCATTATTTTTTAATACATGATCAACCTTTTTTCAATACACATTCAACATTTTTTTTGAATGTTTCCTACGTCATGAGCCCAAGCGGACCCCGCAAGACGCCCTTGACAAGAAACAAATGCGAAGAGGCACCTGGGCTTGGCCGCTTGAGCCATGATGCTTTCATCGGCCGAGATAACCACCCATTGGCGAAGCAGGGCCCGCCCGACCTGTTCCCACTTCCTCGTTGACCCCATCCGATAACAATCATCAGGAACCTCCCACCACTCTCAATAACTATCACCGACACACGGGCACCCCGTCGGTGCACCATGCCTGGACCCACATGTCAACGTCACATGAATGCTTTACCATGTGCGCCATGACGGGCGGACGACGGGATCCCCCACCGCTTCGTCGTCACTTCCCTTTCCCCTCCCACCACCCCCGAATATTCCAAGCTTGCGTCTTGCGGCAATGGCGGCGGCGGCAGCGAGGAGATGGAGCCCAGGCCGGAGAAAGGCCCCAAACCCCGATTTCGCCCCAATCGGTCGACTGAGAGGTGTGTCGCTCCTTCCCACCCTCAATGCCGGTACCATTTGAACTCAGCTGCTCAATTGCTGCCAACTAAATACCATGTAACAAAGAACCTCATTATACAATGCAGACAACCAAACGAAGTACAAAACATGCTATATTGGCTGCATTATTTCAATCAAGCTCTATTGGACCACATATGCAAAGAGGCCAGAATGGTTGCGGAGAACCAAGCATGCCCTCGGCCTCTTTCTGCTGTGGTGCGTGGTGTGAGGCTGGCTTACTTGGGCGATCCAAGATAATGCAAAGAAAGCAATGCATAGATTAGAGGCCTCGAAGGGAACATACGACAAAAAATTTATTTTGGTTTTCCAACAAACTTACTATTTTTTTAAATAAATGTGAGCATTTAAAAAATGAGCACTCTATGATTTAAGGTGATTTAAAAAATTACAACTTTCTAGAAAATATTCCAGCATTTATGAATTTTTAAATATTACGGAACATTTTGTAAAACAAACAAAATAGGAAACTAAAACTAAAGTCAAATAAAAAGAAAATTGATAGAAAAAACAAGAAAACTGGACAATAACCTTCCTAAAACCTGTCTAGTACGCAGATTGTATCTAATTGGGCCGGGCTATGTACGACTCTTCGACATGTTCTTCCCGAGAGTGACAAATAGGAAATACCAAGACATTTCATCTATGGAAAAAAAAACTCAGTCTTATGTTTTCTCAGCGGAGCTCCTTTTTTTTTTGAGGGATCTCAGCGGAGCTCCTATAGAGCGCCCTTTGCGTCGTGGAACCAACTGACGCTCACCAAAGCGCTCAGTTGGGCCGGCCCACGAAAAGTGAATGCGGCGAACATACACAGTGCGGAAGTTTCTCAAAGAAAGCATACATCACGGAAAGAAGTGCAACTGATTGAACAAAGCGAACATACACAGTGCGGAAGTTGCACTGATTAAAA